TGCTGGTTATACTGCCTCATTAAGGCGGGGATCCCGAACTGTTTACCTTCAAAGACAACCCAGTTGCGAGATCTCCATATCCTCCAAAGGACAGCAACCACTGCCACTAATTGCGAAGGTTGACGTATAATAGACAACAACTTTCAGAAAGAGAGGGAACGTATGCCGAGGAAACCTTCGCCAAGAAATAATAATCCAGAATGGTCCCAAATGGCCCGTGCAACGGGACGGTCAAGGAACAAATGTTCCATTGTCTCCAAAGCAGCCCAACACACAGGACATCATGGAAGAACCGCAACCTTTCTTTCATTAAGTGCTTCTGTCGTCGGCAGAATTATATTAAAGATTTGCTAGACAAACACCTTCACCTTCGGAGGAATGTTAGCCTCCCACAACCTGAACCAACTTAGTTTATCCATCCAGCTAACAAGGGCCCGTCAACGGCCATTCTGCTGATCAAGGAGGTCCGCAAAGTGATATGCTGATTTGACAGTGAAAACACCATAAGGAGTGGCATGCCAGATTAAGCGATCCTCAATGTTTTGCAGAGGAAGGGGCATGGCCTTAATTGCTTGACAGGTCTGGGGATCAAACCGCTAACTAAGCTTAATATCACACCATCGCCCCTCCCTAGGATAGAGAACTTCAGACACCGTCGGATCCTCCCCCCTCTAGGAAGAACCCGAGGGTTATACTCTGGGGGAAGAGGATGCTGCTGTGGAATCCAGTTCGAATTAAGCAGAGAAGCTGTCTGACCATTACCAATCTGCCACTGTAACTCCTTGGCTAACAGTTGGCGTCCAAAGAGGATACTCTGCCACCCCCAAGAAGGGCGGGAACGAGCCGTAGCTCTAGGAAGGACCCCTTGGGAAAATACTTCCCTTTATAAACCTGGGCTAAGAGGGAATGAGGTTCATTCAGGATCCGCCATCCTATTTTAGCCAACAAAGCCTGATTAAAATGTTCGAATCGACGAAAATCCATCCCCCCTGATGTTTACTCCTGCACAAATTACGTCAGGAGACCCAACGAATCATGGAGTGGCCGTCCTCCACACCCCACCAAAATCTAGCCACATGCTTGCCCAGGAGTCGACAAAGAGACAGAGGATGCCTAAAATAGGACATAACATGTAATGGTAGAGCTAACGCAACAGACTTAATCAATGGCTCTTTAGCCTCCCAAGACAAAGTCCTTCTCTTCCATCCCTGTAGGCGCTATAACAATTTTTCCTCCAAATAGCAAAAAGTTGCCATTTTCGGCCGAGCTACCAAAGTAGGGAGTCCGAGATACTTATCATGGACCCCCACAACACCCACACCAAGAATTTCAGCCAAAAAAGCATGATCCGGTAGAGAGATGTTCTTGCTAGAGCAAACGGCCGACTTATCCAAGTTCACCTTATGGCCACTAAGCTCCTCATACTCATTAAGAACTTCAATCAGATTCTCACACTCCTGGAGAGAACCATGGAGGAACATATAAGAGTCATCAGCAAAGAATAAATGGGAGGTCCGGAGAGCCCGAGGAGCTACCTTGATTCCTTCTAATCTCTTTTCGGGGATGGCCTTATGAAGTAGGGCCGCAAACCCCTCCGTACAAAGCACAAAGAGCAATGGAGATAGAGGGTCCCCTTGTCAGAGTCCCCTAGAAGGCGAGAAGAACCCAGAAGGTGAACCATTCATGAGTACCGAAAACGTCGCTGATCGTAAACATTCATGTACTCATCCTCGCCAGACAGAGTTAAATCCCATCTTTTCCAAGCTGATCGTAAACATTCATGTACTCATCCTAGCTTTGACCCTGCCCGTTGGACAGGTAATTTTTTTTCATTTTTATGTGTTTTGTTTTTGTATTCTATTATCAATATATTCATATACTTAAGATAATTTAAAAGTGCTATGCAAATAATAAAAAAAATCGTTCTGTATTTTGTAGATAAATGGATAAATAGAATATAGGTTAGTTTCTTGTTTTTGTTTTTTATAAGAATCAGAAACCTGTATATATGGAAGTAAATGGGGTGACAGGAAAAAAGAATAAGGTAAATGGAAAAAATGAGGAAAATAGGGGACATGGAACAGTTTAAGGGAGAAAGAATGTATATGTTTTTAATAATTCAAAGATCCATATGGCCATATATAATGAAGGAAATTGGGGTGCGATAAAATTAATCAGGTAAAATAAATAGAATGAGAAAAAATAGGGTAGGTGCCTAGGTGGAACGGTTTAAGGGGAAAGGAAGAAGGACCGCAAGAAGAAATGACCATTCGACTCTATCATAGGCTTTTTTTCATTTCAACCTTCAGAGCCATGTATCCCTTCTTACCATGGGGTTTGATTTTCAAGTAGTGTATTAACTCATGCCCAAGGAAGATATTTTCCACAATCTGTCTTTCGCGGATAAAGGCATTCTGCCCTTCTGAGATGATTTGGGGCGATAGACTCGCAAGCCTCTCCGCCATAATTTTAGTGATCACCTTGTACACAAACTGGCATAAACTGATGGGACGGAGTAGACGCATGGTCTTCACCCGATCCACTTTTGGGATCAACGTTAGCCAGGTGTGATTAAAGCTACAAAGCATCCTACTTGTTTCAAAAAATGAGCAGACAGCTTCGATCGATATCACATAGTCACCTACAAGCCCCAGAAGGCTTTAAAGAACTTTTCCGTGAAGCCATCCGAGCCTGGCGCCTGCTTCGAACCCATAGAAAACACCGTTTTATGGATTTCACTAGGGAGGACCTCAACAGTTAGGCTGACATTCATTTCCGGGGAAACACTGAAGGCAATGGGAAGTTCCGCCACCCTCTCAACAATGTTGTGCACTTGGTTTTCCGAGGTGAAGATGGTTTGATAGAAATTGCGGAATATCAGCCTTCCCATGTTCCTCCGTGATCCATTCACCATCATTATTATACTGGCCAGATACAAAGTTCTGTTTACGGTGAGCCCTCGTGACCGTGTGAAAATAAGACGTGTTCTTATCTCCCCTTTTCAACCAGCGGATGCGAGATTTCTACTGCCAATAAACTTCCTCTGCCTCCCACTGCCTACTCAATTCAGTTTCCAGACATTTCACCTCATTTCAATCAATCGGGTGAACTGACTTAATACGCTCAATCTCATTTTGCAAGGTATGGATATTATGCAGCGAGTTAGTGGTACCCGCTCTGCTCCAGTCATAGAGCAAATGGCGAAGTTTCTTCAACCGCTCCCACAGTTGAAACATCGGAGTACCATGAATTGTCTCATGCCAAATGTAAGACACCATGGCCTTGACTTCCGGATTCTCTGCCCATCGGGCATCAAATCAAAACAGAGGGCGACACTTCCAAACATACGGTTAATCAGAAAGAAGCAGAGCCCTATGATCAGAACCCTGATCATTGAAATGCTTAACAAGAGTTTCTGGGAAACAATCCATCCAATTCTGGGAGCAGAGAACCCTGTCAAGCCTCTCACGAATACACGCCAACCCCATACGTTTGTTTGTCCAGGTGAAAGGGTCACCCTGGTACCCAGGGTCATGTAGACCTAGATCTTGAACAAGATTCCGGAGGTCCATGGACTGGGAAGCATTCCACGGGTTACCTCCATCCTTTTCATTTTCATTAAGGGTGGCATTGAAATCGCCAATGATCACAAACGGAAACTGGAGTCCTCCACAGATTTCACGAAGTTGAGTTAATTGAGTCACACGCACAACGATATTACAACTCATATAAACACAAATCACCACATACGAAGACCCATTTTCATTAATCCTGGAACAATTGCAAAAACTAGAATGAAAAATTACCGAAGTTTCAACTTCGGGGGACCAAGCTACTACTAGGCCTCCAGAATCATTAACAGCATATCAACAAAGTAACATTGAGAAGACTCAAACCCTAAACCCCGCAATCTACGGAAAACTACTCTCCGACACGATCTTGTTTCTGGAAAAAAAAACAAGGTCCGTTTTATTCGAGCAAAACTAAACCAACAGTTGTTTGGAATGTGAGGGATGATCCAATTCCTCTCACATTTCAGGCCAATAGCCTCATTTATCAGATTGGGGCCACTGTTGGCTGGCTTCCTCCACCAATTCAGCCTCAATGTGATCCTCCACAAACTGCTTCTCGGGGGTGAGACTATTCCCGATACCCCTCCATCTCTTGAAGCGACCGTTTACGAGTCTCAGCTTCAAAATTAGACTCATATTCGTTGAGCTTCATGATCATCTGACCTTCAGCATCTTCCAAACTCCCTTTGCCTTCATTAATAACCATGTTAGCCTCAAAAGTAGCAACCACTTGGCGCACCTATCCTGATTAGAAGTGCCGCTCGTGATCAGCCTGATTCACAAAATTTTCTCACTAACCAGGGACCCATCATTTACCCTCTCCCTTCCGCCGCTGACTATAAGTAGTAGTAATGTTAGAACCCAAACTGACGGTGACATGCTGCTGGTACCCGGTAAATCAAACCCGCAGAGCAAATAATATGATTACTTTAATTAGCAACAAATTAAAGCAACGATAACTAATAATCAACCCTACCTTAAGCTAGATATATTATAGATACATAGCAGTTCAACATTGACAATTCAGAAACAAGATAAAAAGAAGACAAGACCCGCGTAATCACCATTCATCACCAAATGCAAAAGTCTTCCATCGATTAAGACGTACCCAAAGGAAGACACAATAATATTGGTTTCCTCCTTCCCCTTCACTTTCACTTTTGACGCGCGCACAGCACCAAATTACCTTTTGCACAGCACAAAAGCTAATTAGGCCCTAGCTTCTTCCAGTTCCATGCATACACACCCACAAGTCTACGTGTTAGGTAACCTGCCAGCTGACCCAATCCAACCTTTTGCCTTGATCCAACGAACTCCACCACGTACGTACTGCCCAAAATTCAAATCACTCCCTTGCTCCTTTAGTACCGCATCCATCTTAGCTTCTTCTATATAAACCACAGTTTGCATGCCTCAGTTCCCAACTCCATCCATCGTAAATTACTTCATTAACAAGTTCATCAAGAGAAGAGATAATAATGGCTTCCTCCTCCACTACTGTTTTTGCTAGTGTCGTGGGTTTGGCTCTGCTGCTCTTTGTCGGGAGTGGTAGTGCTCAGCTGAACACAAACTTCTACTCCAAATCTTGCCCTCAACTTCAGGAAACCATCTATCGTGTGGTTGAAGCCGCTGTCAGGAGAGAGGCTCGCATGGGCGCCTCTTTGCTCCGCCTCTTCTTCCACGACTGCTTTGTCAACGTAAGTTGCGCGCATATCTTTCTCTCTATTTTGTTTCTCCATCTCTTCAGTTATTTCTATGCATGCCATCATTTTCTCACAAAAAAACAGTTATACTCCTGGCGTCCTTGCTTTGACTAAATTGGGAGTGCATAACACATTGATGAATTCAAACATGCAATGCATACCATCAGTCATATTTTAATTTCCTTCTCACTTCAATATTGTGACCTTTGACAAGTCTTAGAAAGTTTTGTTTAGTGAAAAGTGGAATTCGGAGAAACAATAAAGTTAGAAGCTACACAAGAAAATCGAAAGATAATTTTTTGTTATTGAAATCAGAACTAAACATTAATACTCTCCTCTACAAAACGTTGTCGATTCAATTAATTTTTTCTTATCTTGATCCCCAATCCGAATTTTGATAATGATTTTCACTTTTGTGGTGTGGATGGTCATATAAGAAGCTTCTCTGTCTCTGTGACGGTGACCTTTTTGCCGCTTGCCCCTACAAGTTCAATATTGTTTTCAACACCTCCTTTTCGATGTTCCTCTAAATTTAGAGACATGGGCTATTGTAGTAATGTGAAGCTAATTCATTTATTATTTTAATATTGCGCTTTGACCGTTATATACCCAGCCACAAAATAACATACCCTGTATTAAAACAAAAGATTACGTAAAAAGGATTATAAATATATACAAAAAAAAAAAGATTATAAAGTTACAAAATGTAAGACTTAATTTGTTCTTGCTAATGATCTCCTCCTCCGGGAAACTGTGACATAACAGGGATGCGATGGCTCAATTTTGTTGGACGACACGTCCTCCTTCACCGGGGAGAAAAACGCGAACCCGAACCGAAACTCCGCCCGGGGTTTCGACGTCATAGACAGCATCAAGTCCGCCGTCGAGAAGGCCTGCCCCGGCACCGTCTCCTGCGCCGACGTCCTCGCCGTCGCCGCCCGAGACTCCACCGTCCTTGTAATTAGTCCCCTGCCGTTTTACCATAGTAATATTTCAACAATTAATTATATTATTCTAATTCTAATTATTAAATTTCCAAACAGCTGGGCGGGCCGAGCTGGAACGTGAAGCTGGGGAGGCGCGACGCCCGGACGGCGAGCCAATCCGCGGCGAACAACGGCATCCCGCCGCCGACCTCCAACCTGACCCGCCTCGTCAGCCGGTTCAACGCGCTGGGGCTGTCGGCGCGTGACCTCGTGGCGCTTTCGGGGTCCCACACCGTCGGGCAGGCGAGATGCACCTCCTTCCGCGCCCGCATCTACAACGAGCGGAACACGCTCGACGCGTCCCTCGCACGCACCCGCCAGTCCAACTGCCCCAGCCGCAGCGGCTCCGGGGACAACAACCTCGCCCCGCTCGACGCCCAGTCCCCGACCACCTTCGACAACAGCTACTTCGGGAACCTCGTCAGCCGCCGGGGGCTGCTCCACTCCGACCAGCAGCTGTTCTCCGGCGGATCGACCGATTCGATCGTCCGGAGCTACAGCGGGAGCCAGGGGGCGTTCCGCTCGGACTTCGTGAGCGGGATGGTGAAGATGGGAGACATCAGCCCGCTCACGGGGTCGCAGGGCGAGATCCGGAGGAACTGCAGGAGGCCCAATTAAAAGACGAGTGGGTGTGGGCCGAGATTCGGAGGACATGATTTTGCGGGCCGATCGAGTTCGAATAAAAATAAAGCGTGGTTTTGTGTGAGTGGGTGGGTCGGCACTCGGCAGTGCTTATGTTGTTGTTGTTATTTTTTTTTTTTTTTATCTCAGTCAAGATGTTGTTTTCTTCTGTTTGATCTTTCTTTCTTTACTTCGTTCTTTTTTTTCCCCGTTTTTTATGTCGATCAAGCTTTGAATTGATCAAACCAGTTTAAATTAAGTTGATTTCTCAACCTTTATATTCACATATATGTCCGCCTCAGATTAATATTGCTTCCATGTTTGTCTAGCTGGAAATAATTTTGTTTTGCTTCTACAAGTCTTAGCTCATTTAATCCAATTTAAATCAGCGAAAACTTTTTTGTGGTGTTGTGCTGGATATTATAAAACACTTTCAATTATATTCAGTGGTATCAAGCAGAAACCATTGCTAAGAGGTGGTAAACAACATATCCAAAATGAATATCATTTTGTAGATCACCAATCATCATGAACTCATCTAAATGCAGTCTCCCTCTGATAGACCAAGCTCTGAGAATTTGTCATCAAACAGGGAAAGCAGAGTTTCAATTTCCCCTAGATATAAGCCTTGAAATTTGCCTGCTTGATTGGGAAAAAGGAGGAAACCGGCAGTGTTTCTATATGGTGCTAATTGTTAGAGGATTTCCATGAGGAGTATGTAGGTTTGTTAGATATTTCCAGATCTAATTGGGTTGAAAGAGTTGGTAGGTAGGACTTCCACAATTGTGTTGGATAGGCCTTCTTAAAGGCTTGGAATGGTTATGAAGGAAGAAATGGTGATTATGGGAAGCTGTATATAGTGCTAATGAAGTGCACTCTTGTTTGTTTGTAGCTGCATGCCTATTCGTCTCCATATTTTATCCACTACCAGTTGTTGAAACTGCTATCACAACTCTGCTAAAATCGATCATTGCCCATATGCTTTTTTGATTCTTGCTTTACAAAGACAAATAACTGTTTTGTTTTACTTTTCCCCCTTCATTATTAGTTTCGGGATCCCAACAAATCATGTTACTTGATCATTCTGCAGATGAGTTTAGGAAACTGCTCACATCCTCAGGCAGCTTGTCCGCCGCGTATTGCCACCGGTGAACGAGCTCTGTCGCGATTTCTTCCACCGTCCTGGTTAAATTGAAGCAGCGGCGGATCCAGAACACAAAAGAGCACTGGGCCGCATTTCATTAGAAAATTAGAATCGTAAAACAAATCTAATGATTATAATTTTGTTTTTACAATGTCAATTGTACACGACGGTATTTTAATTTAGCGAATGCATCAATAATGGAATCCACATCTATACCAATAGTATACACTGTTTCAAATAAAATACTTGAGCAATCGGCAAGAAATTCACCGCTTATTTTTTGTGCAAATCAATTTTCACATGTTTCATTGTTGAGAAGGTTTTCTTCGTAGTATCTGTTGAAACGAGCAGCGTCAACACTAGACAATCAATCGACTAATCAATTTGCATTGTGTGTTCATCCCTATATCCACCAGCTGCACAGTAAATTTTCAAGGGCTTTTAGTCTATCACGTTTTAGACTTTTAAGTTTCATTGTTTTTTTAGACGCTCAATCTTTGGGACAAGAATTTCTAAACTAAATTTAAAGTGGTTATTTAAATATGTTCATCTGAATCATTTTTCTAGTTATACACAATCTTATTATAAAATAACACTAGACCGAATGCCTAAAATCAAAATTTTATAAGGACTATACTAATACTGGATCCAGAGGAGGGCTGGGCCGGGGCCCGGGGTGGCCACCCCCTGGATCCGCCAATGAATTGAAGACGGTGACGGAAAGCGGGAGGGGTACCAGATTGATTTTCCAAGCTGTGACTTGACTACTCCAAAAGTGTTCCCTCCACCGCCACGAATCGCCCAGAACAGATCTTCCCCATTGAATCTCTGTATAGGACTTTGCCCTCGGCGTCAATTAGTCTGGCGTCGATTACGTTATCAACTGCGAGCCCGAACCTCCGTCACAACGCGCCTGATCCAGGGGCGAAGCCAGGATTCCTATTCCGGGGGGGCCAAAAATTGAAAAACTGCACCTAAGCCAGTATTTTCATGTGGGTGGCCAAAATTTGAATAATTGCACATTCTTTTGCTTTGATAGATAGATTCGTCATTCGTAAAATCATATTCAAGATAAATGTTTCGAATATTTTTTGTCTATTGAATCAAGAGATTTCACGTTTTGTAGCTAAATTTTATTATTTTCATTCAAAATGCACATTTACAAAGATAAATAATTATTGAATGAATCAAAACAAGATATTATCTACTAATACAAGCAATAAATAACTAAATACTAAAGGAAGTAAAATTCAAAATCACTCAACAGAAAGGGTACTAGGAAATTATAAATAATAAAAATCAAATAAAAATGCAGAAATAATAAAAATCAAATAAAATGCAGAAACTGCGTACATAGGGAATCGAACCTGCGTTCTAATCCTCCCAAATCAAGCATTCTTCCACTAGTCTACAATACAACTTTGCAATACCAATCGCTACTTGACTCAATTTATAATTCCCGGGGGGGCCATGGCCCCCCCGGCCGCCAAGCTAGCTTCGCCCCTGGCCTGATCCCCTCCGCTGAAATTCCCGCCGACGCCCGCCGCTCCGTCCGGGCTACTTCGGAAACAGTATCTTCATCGCGACCCCAACCGCGTCGGCGGGGGATCTGTGGACCAAGCCGACCTGATTCTCGGCGGGTCGAATCCATGACGTTTTGATCCGGTGGTGGTGGCGGTCAATAATTTATGATTTTATTTTTATTTTTTTAATAGTTAGAAATGAGGTGGAAATTATAAAATATTAATTTTTATTATTTTATTAATTTTTTAATTGCAACATCACTCACTTAACGGTCAACTTTTAAAGTTGACCGCCATGTAAGCAAAAGTTAACGGAGTTGGACGGAGAGTGACCAAACGTGAACGATTTTAGTAAATTGAAGTACCACCATTGGATTTAAATATTTCGAGTGACCAAATTTGAACGTTTTTTTTAATCTCAGTGACCAGCCATGCAATTAACCCAACATAAATGTATAGTTAGGGATTATGCAGCCTACAATAGTACAATACCGGCCAACCCCACTAAACCAGCCATTATTCATATATTCTAATAATCCGCACTAAAATAATCTACATAATAATATTCATATTGATATTATTAGGGGATTGCTATTCGTCGCCCTAAAAATCCTTATTTATCGCCCTAATTATATCAAATTTACTATAATGTCCTTAGTTTATTTTATTTTCTATCAAACACTTAAATTCTGAAACAAACACATACATAGTTACATACGTCCACCAGTCGCCGGAGCCGGAGGAAACATTTTTGGAAACCCACACCCAATATCGCCATTTGAGGAGTTTGTTGTTCATCGCTATCGTGCCATCTCATCGCCGGTGGATGTCCTGAATAATACGGGCGAAGATCAAGGGAGTTTCGAGTAAGTGCTGCAGGAGAGAAACGGTGGGCCCAAGGTGTTTGACCAATGGTCTCAATGAAGGTAAGTAGTTTGGTGCATCAAAATTCAAAATGATCTTTTATTTTATTAAAAGGAGCCGCTTTTGCATTGCTCTGAATTTTGATAGGCGATAGCTTGGGGATTTGAATTTCTTTTCTTTTTGTCCAGTGGGTTGCAGGAACAAGACTTGTTTCACCGCCGGGATCGGAGCCTATCTGCTGTACTTAGTTGCCGCGAGGAAAACGAGCTGGACAGGTTCAATGCGGCGCGGGTGGAATACAGCATGGCGGGGAGCGAATCTGGCAGGAAGACAGGGTGGCGGGAGAAGTTATCGGGTCGGCGGCGGAGAGCAGTTCTGGGGTGGATGGCAGTTGATTTTGAGAGTCGGGTTTGGGGTTGGAGACGGATTGTTGCTAGGTTTTAGTTTATGTTTAAAGTTAGGGGTATAAGTGTCAATTTAGTATGGTTTAGGGCGATTTATTTTGAATTCTAGGGCGACGAATAGCGATTCAGTATTATTAGGGCGAAAATGTTTTAGAAGTTTGCAAGACGAACTCACATTCTTTTTTTTATCCCAATAGATGCACCAAATTTTTATTAATAATCAAAATACAATACTGAATAACACAAGTACACAAAGAACACATTTCAAAAGCAATAAAGCTCAAGTCAATACTAGATTAGTCATCTTTTTCCTCGTCACCAAATCGACTCCATATATCTTCTATCAAATCTGCTTGAAGTCGGTTATTTTTTGACCTATTACGAGTTTTGGCATTATTTCGAAGATACTCTTCATACTCAAGGAGACAAAATTGAGAAACGGCTGACATGGATCCGTTGAAGCTAAGTTCACCTCATCATCTACATAATCAAAATGAAGAATAAATGAATTTCGTTCATCTTCCACTGTCCTGTTGTGCATAACTACACATACTCTCATGATTTCTCCTATTATATTTTGCACCACATGCCTGATGTACCATTAATGATAGCAAATCGTGTTTGGAGTACCTCAAATGCTCTATCAACTTCTTTCCCGACTGCCTCTTGCTTCTTAAAGAATAACTTGTATTTTGGTCCTTGCCTCCTTGGGGTAATGGAAGGGCTAAACTTCTTGATCGTGATGAAGATAGAGCACGATCAAAGAGGACTAAAATTAGGGGCGGAGCCAAGAATTAAGCTAGGAGGTGGGCGGGGCGAAAATATTTTAACTTATTATGTGAAAAACCTGAATTATATGAACAAGTGATTAAATTATGTGAACAAAAGATAAATTTCTACTATATTATGTTCTATACAAGTGATTAAGTTATATGAGCAAACAATAAATCATGCATTACAATGCATAGCAGGTGTTCGATATCTTTATGATTGAAAAATAAATACATATGTAAATGTTGTTTTTTGTAGATAATTATTATGACCAAGACATTAAATATGAATTCAAAATTAGTATAGTTTAAAATGACTGAACTTATAAGGAATTATAGAATTAAATTAACTTTTGGTAGAAGTAAACAAAACCTAAAAAAAATTAATGTAATATATTCCATAGGTGACTCGTGAATCGTGATCATCAATGGGAGAATTTTTTGAAAGAAGTAAAAACGTAGAGAAAACTAAAAAAGTACTAAGTTGTTCCTCACAAGTCTCAAACTTTGGTCAATGGAGAAACATCAACAACAGTGTTAACCACTGGACTAGAAAGTAACTTATGATTATTTTCGCACACAAAACTATTTATCAATTACGAGAGACCTCACCTATCGCCCCCCTCCCCCTGACTAAAATATAGCTTCTGATCAATTCACATCATCATCTTCAAATACAGCTATGTC